GGACTTTCTCTGCTCATTTGGTTAAACTTGGTATTTTTACTGCTTGTATCTGTTTTACACAGTAGCAGCTGGCACTGAAAGGACTGAACTGTACAAGACTCTTAGATTTTTTTCTTGTCTTACAACAAACATTCCAGAAATACAAAAAAAAAAAGGCCAAAATTATACCACAGCAGAGCACGTGGAATATATTTTCACTCAGATCTATTCAGAAGTTACTTATGCTTTCCATATTCATCCCATCCATGTCCATGCTTCTTCAAGTAAAAATAAAGCAAGCTCCCCCCTAACTCCAGCAAAAGCAGAATTTACAGATGAACATTTCCACTGTGAAACTCTTGAAAGTGTCTGTGATGACATTAGAGAACAAAAATCTTTTTTCCTCTGTGCCTGCCTGCAGCTCTGGGAGTTCAAAAATAATTTAAACCAAGTGAGATGTTTGAACTGAGCACTGGAAACAGGGCTTAGATCAGGAACATCCACTAGAACCAACCTATGGAGACCTAGGAGATGTTGCTGAACATTTCAGGGAGATTTTTCCAGCCAGGTTTCCACTGCTGAGAGGCATGGGATGGTTTACAGTCCTCACCAGCAATCCAGATGTGATCTTTATAAACATCTAAACAGCCTTGGCCCACTGGAGTTGTATCAGCCCTTCTCCTGTTTCAGCTTGGAAGATTCCATCCCTTTCTGGAAATAATTCTGAGCTGGGATAAGGGGACACACAAAACCACCCAAATGGGTGGGCAGGGACCATCAGACTTCATCAGGGAGCCCCCACTGCCCAGGAGTGCTCAGGGCAGGCTGGCAGCCCATCCCAAACACCAAAACTATTCCCTGTCCCAGCAGCAGCCTCTGCCTGGGCTCCAAAGGCAGGATTTCATACCCTGCTCCATCCCCCAAACAGGCTGGAGCACTCTGGCACCTCTCTGCTCCTTCCTGGTCCTACATACATCCACATTCCTCTGCCCTCCCAGCAAGATACAGCCCCCAGGCAGGGAGGAGAAAGAGGGATGAGCCACATTTTCCCTTACTGATTCACACAGTGGGCAAAACCTAAGCAAAAATGTAGATAATTAGACCTGTCTTTGTTTTTCCTATTTTTTTTTTGTTTTGTTTTAAATAAAATGTTAACTCTTGTTAACAGAAAAACTTCAAATTGGCTAATTCTCTGTTGGCTGGGCACAGGTAATGGACAAATTCAAACCCTAAGCTATCATTTCCATATCCAGGATTGCCTGAAGCTGGAGTTTTAATTGAAAATGTGATACTGAGCCCAAACCATGGTGGTCATTGCCAACAACTCAAAATTCAAAAGGTATCAAAAGTGGACTTGTTTACAGAGGGAAGAGCCAAGATTTGACATATACATAAAATTGTGGGATAGCTCTAACTTGGAACCATTTTCACATCAGAATGGTAACATTTACAGGACAATCAAGCTCATAAATTAAGCATTCAATGATGGGCCAACAAGCTTCCCACAGTCAAACCTATCTATGAGGGCAACAGGAATGTCCTTCACAACAATGGCTAAGTCAGGGAGTTTCATTTCTCTTGGCCTTTTGCCTTTTCAGCATTTCAGTTTTTATCCCTTTAAAGAAACACAAATGGACCCGTTATCCAGAGGCTTATTTGGAATGTTCAGCTTAAACTCTGAAAGCTGAAGCGTGGCATCGATCACACCACATTTTACTGATTATGTCAGAAAATGCTATTTGCATTTCTGAATACTGAATTAACAAAATGTAGGTCAACTTTGTTGGATTACTCTTTTTTTTTTTTAAAGGCACGCTAAACTTCTGAACACTTCAGTTAAATCACTACACTGAAACCAGTATGGATTTTAGGTGACAACAGGCACTGTGAAGAAATGATCACACTGCAGGTTATAGACTGACTGAATATTTGATATTCAGGCAAATTATCATTCCCATTTGCCAGTGCACTTCTGCCTGTTAACTGCGGCCCTAAATCAAATCTTGGGTTACTACAGGTTACTACAGTCTCCCTGGAACATAAAACCTACTGTATGGCTACTCTGGTTTCATATAACAACTATGTCATTAGTTAATGATTTAAAATTTTACCCTCTGTGAGCAATCCACATTCCAGTGGACTGCTGGAGTGGTTTCCACATATTTATTTTTTTCCTCCCCTCTAAATGCTACTTTAGTGTTAAAATTCTGAAGTCAATATTATAAAAATCTGTTGAGACAATGTCTCAGGATCATTAACATATGTTCAAGTGTTTGAGTAGTCTGAATCCTGGTGATGTAATGGCAAAAAAGTACATCCAAAATATTTTCAGCTATATTCAAAATGGTTTTTTACTGAAGACACAATTAAAGACACTTATTTTGGCTTTTAACTTGAGATCTTCAGAACTCCTTATTTAAAATTATAATGAGTATTGCTCTCATTGCTGTTTTTTTCCAACTCTATTTGAAAGAAAAGAATGCAAAAAAGTTTGTGAAAACATCCCCAGAACTCACTCACACTGTGATTTTAAAAAAACTCTAATGGTTCAGGTTCCATTGTGAACCTTTTTCATGTAATTTATTGCAGAAGACAATTCACATCTGTAGGGACACCAAAACATTCTGTTACTCTAAATAACTGAAAATAGACACTCAGCTGACAGGAAAATTTTAGAGAAGTCAGGAAAGATGTAGCTGAAACCAGAAAACAAAACACCACAGCCTGAAGGAGGGACCTGAAGGACTGGGCTGTTTTTTACTACTATTGATCCTGGCACTTGGAAACAGCCAAGAATTTGCATCATTTATGAGGATCAAATTCATGCAGGCAGGTAAAAAAAAGGGAAATTCATTTCTTTAGACTGAATGCCTGCTATCCATCCGTGACCACACTCTCAACATGACACTCAGAGCAGCTCTGTCAGCACTGCTCAGCTTTCTATACATTGAACCATACAGATTTTACATTAGAGGGCTATGAGTAATATGAATTAATACAAATTTAAAAATAAAATAACAGTTTGATTTTATCTGTACTGATTTATAGAGATCCAGACTTTCAGTTTTTCTTCATACTTTTTATTTATATTTCTCCTAGTTGCTCACATTTACCCCTGATAAAACAAACCTCTTTTCACATACTTAGGTCTCCATTTCAGCTTCAAGTTTGTTAATGTTCCCAATTTCCAGAAGTGACAGTTGACCACAAATACAATATTTCTGCAAAGAACTATTATTTATGTTACTTTAAAAACTAACAGAGAATTGAATTCCCCATTAATTTAGTGTTAAAAGTATTTCCAGGCTCCTACACATCACCTCCAGCTGGCAGAACCTAAGTTCCTATTTCCCAGAACTAATTTAACAACACAAATAGGGGCCAAAATCCATCAGCAGCACTAACACCACAGGCATTTGAGAACATTACAATAATAACACTAATAAAATATGATTGTAGCAAACCTTCCATGCTCAGCTTTCATCTTGACAGACAACTAAATCCAGTGCACCACCATGTGGCAACATATTAGGGAATGGTTCACATACCAAGACCTGTTTTTTTCCACCTTCAAAATTTTTTTGCTATTTCTTAAAAAATAAATGTTAACAAAGCCTTCGTAGTGTTTAAAAGATCCCCCTTAACAAGTTGTCACAGCTTCACTCATCTCAAAGGCTATTTTTTAATACACCTGGACTAGCAAAAAAATGCTTGAGCGTTTTTATTTGTAAAACACAGTATTTACCTAAAAACGTAACTGCCCCAGGACCAGAGAACAAGCTCTGTTTCCTGCCAACCTCGTTCCCTCACACAGGAGAAATCTGGCAAAAGCCTATACTGCACATCGAATTCCTTTCAAAACATAAATACATTAAAAAAAAATAAATCAAGATAAATGCTGGTCTCACATCTGATTAAAAGCTTAAAAACAATCTTGGGAAAAAAATCAAAACCTTGAAGGTATACACATGCATTATTTACCAGCTGCTCAGTTACTCTGGAACTGCCTCTCTCCAGCTGAACAACAAGAAAATATTTTTTTTCCACGAGAAACACCAAGACAAGATCTCAACAACCGTAAGGAAACCCCAATTCCCGAAGCCAGCACATGCCACTTAGTACCCTGGAATTTACTTCTGCAGCCAAATGCTAAACTCAGAGGGGAAAAAAAGCCAGCTTTTCATTAAACTGAACAGCCTTGCCTCGCACAGCACAGCACTGCTGTATTTCACCTTATCACAAAATTCCAGAATTCAACCTCAGCTGATTCTGGGTTTCATGAAACAGAGACTTAATTCATCACGCCTTAACATATTTGTGAGCCATTTTGTACCAACACACTGAACTAGCAGCAAAGACTCAGGACAGCCTCCTGCTAGGAGCTTTATCTGGACTCCCCATCTCCGCTCTGGGCTCTTTCTCTCTCTCGGCTCACCGGACCTAAAGGCTCTGCTAAAACAGCCCCGAAATCTGACAGAAATTTGGGTGACGATGTGCAGCCACCCCAGGGAGGCAGGCAGAGCAACGGGTTCCCACAAGCTCCGTACCTCCAGCACTGGGAAAACCTGTCGTGGAAGAGGCTGGAGCAAGCAGTGCTCTCCTTCCAGAGCCCAGGACGGACAGACCCGCGGTTCTCCAGCTGCAAAAGTTGCTTTGGAGTGATGCGAAAGTCTTACCACAGAGCTCATCGTCAATCCAACCACGTTGAAAAAAAAACAACACACCCCAAGAGCTGAAAAAAAATGGTAATTCACCTCCTGCTTGAAGATGACGCTGGAGTTTCCTCATCTGCAACTCCAGGTCCCCTCCTTCCCCTCTCCCCCAGCCCAGCCCTGCTAACACGAAGCCTGAAAAGCTCTTTCTCTGCTACGAAGACCATCACGATTTTCTGCCAAAGACAAACCAATAGCAAGAACACAATGCACATTATGCAAGTTACTGCAGAGTTATGCAAGTTAGATGCATATTTTCACTCGCTCTGCCGAGGACGCCGAAGCCACTTGTTTGATGTGGATGCCTACTCTTATTCCGAGCTGTCAAATCTTCCTCTGCTTGTCTCAACTGGCTTGTTCACACTAAAATTTCAAGCAGTTGCTATGGGTATTAACGAAGCCCTTCCATTACATACAATAATCGAGGCCATTAAAGCCACAGCATCTGAGCACAGTATCACTCATGTTTACCCCCAAACCAGGTCTTAGGAGACGTGGTAGGCAGAGCACAGCCCCTTATTTACTGCAGATATCCCACACTCCACATTGTCAAAACAGAGGAAAGCATCAAAAATCTCTTGAGCCAAACCAGGCCTCATGGTGGAAGTACCACCTCACTAGCAAAAGGAATTAAGAGAGTTACATAAACACTCCTATGCTGAAAAAGATAATTTTTTGTTCAAACACCCCCCGAACCTGATGGTTTGGGGTTTTTGTGATCTACCTCCATACTTTTGCAGTCAGCACTAGTGCAGCAAGAAGACACAGATTTCACATATGGCTTTACAGTCAAAAGTAACTGGGAGCAACTTCTCCAACAATATAGGAGCCCTCACTATTTCCAAGACAAGCCAGACAAAAAAATGCAAGCTTTTTGGGCACTAAATCCATCCGTTTCAGCATGAGAGCTATCAATCTATCATTTTAGACGACTGCTCAGAGATCTGACCATACCTACAAAGGAATGTGGAGACATACCACTTTATTTCTAATTTCTGCCCCTTCTCCCCTGTTTAACCAGCACTGCCTGTAACAAAGCATAGAAGTGACGTCCAAGTAACTTCCCAAAGCTGTGAACAAGCCCCCAGAACCTGAACCCTCCTGCTCACCCACCAGACACAAGCACACAACCACTTACAGCCCCAAGACTGCTCCAAGCTTCAGAAAGCAAACAAGGTTAAGGGCACTCCTCGACATCCAGACTTTTGAGGGAAGCAGCTCCTTCGGCCAGGCTGGATTCATCTCATTTGGGAGCAAAACCCAATCCAAGTGTGATGCCTTACGCAAGCAACAACTATTTATCTAAGGAGTTAAATAGAGCCTGCTTTTACAAGGAGCCTGTGTCTCATTCTGAGGAACACAAGTAACCTCCAACAAACCTGAAAGCTGCACAGATTCTGAAATGGGAGGCAGGGAGGAATACATGAAAGAAATCTGGTTACAAAAAAAAAAAAAAAAAAAAAAAAAAAAAGCGGGAAAAAAAAAAA